AAGAAATCAAGGAAGGCACAAACAAATGGAAACATATACCATGTTCATGGATTGGAGGAATTAACATCATCAAAATGTCCATACTACCCAAAACAATTTACAGATTCAATGCAATACCTATTAAAGTAATAATGACATATTTCACAGACATAGAACAAACTCTTCAAAAATTTATATGGCATCATAAACGACCCCGAATAGCAGCTGCAATTTTGAGAAAGAAGATCAAAGTAGGAGGGATCACAATACTTGATATCAAACTGTATTACAAGGCCACTGTAATCAAAACAGCTTGTTACTGGCATAAAAACAGGCATGTAGACAAATGGAACAGAACAGAGAGCCCAGAAATAAACCGAAGTCTTTACGGTCAATTAATATTCGACAAAGGGGGCAGCAACATAAAATGGAGTAAAAATAGCCTCTGAAACAAATGGTGTTGGGAGAACTGAACAGCTACGTGCAAAAACAAGAAACTTGAGCACCAACTTATACCATACACCAAAATAAATTCAAGGTGGATAAAAGACTTAAATATAAGCTGTGACATCACTAAAGTCCTAGAGAAGAACATAAGCAGGAAAATCTCAGCTATTTCACGCAGCAACATTTTTACTGATATGTCCCCTAGAGCAAGGGACATAAAGGAAAAAATAAACAAATGGGATCTCATCAAAATAAAAAGCTTCTGCACAGCTAAAGAAAACAGTATTAAAATAAAAAGAGAACCAACTGTATGGGAAAACCTATTTGCCAATGATACCTCAGACAAGGGTTTAATCTTTAAAATATACAAAGAACTTACATGACTCCACTCTATGAAGACAAGCAACACAATTAAAAAGTGGGCAAAGAACTTGAACAGACATTTCTCCAAGGAGGACATACAGAAGATCCAGAGACACATGAAAAGATGCTCAATATCACTAGCTACCAGAGAGATGCAAATTAAAACCACAGTGAGATACCACTTTACACTGCTCAGGATGGCCATCATAAACAAAGCAACAAACAAGTGTTGGAGAGGTTGTGGAGAAAAGGGGACCCTAATTCATTGTTGGTGGAATTGCAGACTGGTACAACCACTGTGGAAAACAGTATGGAATTTTTCTAAGAAAACTAAAAATGGATCTGCCTTTTGACCCAGCGATTCCACTGCTGGGATTATATCCTAAGAACCCTGAAACACCAATCCCAAAGAACCTATGCACCCCAATGTTCATAGCAGCACAGTTTACAATAGCCAAGAGCTGGAAGCAACCTAGGTGCCCGTCAGTAAATGAATGAATCAAAAAATGATGGTACATTTACACAATGGAATTCTATGCAGCAGAGAGAAAGAAGGAGCTCCTACCCTTTGCAACAACATGGATGGAACTGAAAAGCATTATGCTCAGTGAAATAAGCCAGGTGGTAAAAGACAAATACCATATGATCTCACCTTTAACAGGAACCTAAACAAGAAAACAAACAAGCAAGCAAAATATAAGCAAAGACACTGAAATAGAGAACAGGGACAGCGACCAGAGGGGAGAAGGGAGGGAATTCCAGGGGAAAAGGGGAAGCGTGTGCAGGAACAAGTATAAAGGAAACATGGACAACAACTAAGGGGGGTGGAAATGGGAGGGAGGTGGGGAGCACTGAGGGGGTGGGCTGAGATGGGAGTAAAAGACAGAAAACTGTACTTGAACAACAAGTAAATTATTTTTTAAAATACCATACAAAACCCCAAAATGCTCTAAAACATTGTCATTTTCTTCTGAAGATTTTTATGATGCATTGTAATCATTACCCAATCTTTTACTATTAAATTTAAATGGCTAATTCAGACAACCAGTTCTGAGACCATTCTTTCACCACTGATTAAGACTGGCATGGAAAGTTTCAGGGATAATATTTATTTAGCATTAGTGCAACTCAATGGAATCCATTTTAACATGAATAATCAGTTGTTTCACACCCCGTGTGTAAGGCAGAAGGTCATGGTCATAAGCCTGCCCATTCTTGGAGATACCTTCTTCAAATTCACCAACACCAGCAGCAACAATCAGGACAGCACAGTCAGCCTGAGATGTGCCTTTAATCATGTTTTTAATAAAGTCTCTGCGTCCTTGGGCATCAGTAATAGTCACATATTTGCTTGTCTCAAATTTCCACAGGGAAATATCAGTGGTATTACCACACTGACATTCAGCTTTCAGTTTATCCAAGACCTAGGCATACATGAAGGAGTCTATCCCCATCTGAGTATCCCCCTTCTCAAAATTTTCAGTGTTTCCTTTGTCAGTCTCACCACATGTCTACACAGTCTTGCTGTGTAGATCAGATTGCTGGTAGTGGTAGTCTTGCTGGGTCTTGTAAAAGATTTGAGTTTTTTTTTAGTGGAAAAAAGTGAATTTTGAAATCAGGGTTTTGTTTTGTCAGTTTCCTTGACATTCCATATCAATTTTAGGATGGTTTTTCTGTTTCTCAAAAAAAATTAGGATTTTGATAAAGACTGCATTGAATCTGTAATTTCATTTGTGTAGTATTTACATCTTAACATATTAAGTCTTCCAATCCATGAATGTGAAATGTGTTTCTATTTATTTATGTCTGCTTTAACTTCTTTAAGCAATATTTTGTAGTTTTCATTTATTATGAGGCACTTTTTTGCATATTTTTATTTTTATTTTTTTCTCTTTTAACAGTTTTTATTAAGATATAATTTACATACCATGCAATTCAACAGCTTTTAGTATATTCAGAGTTGTGCACCCATCACCCTAATCAATTTTAAAATATTTTCATTACCTCAAAAAATAAAATTCCACACCCCTTAGCTGCCACTCCAATCTTCCTGTCCCCTCCCTCCCCTTCACCCCGCAGTCATAGGCAATTACTCATCTACTTTCTTTTTTTTTTGCCCTAATATTTTTCTTTAAATATATTTTATTGATTATGCTATTACAGTTGTTCTGTTCCCCCCTCCATTCCCCTCCACCCTGCACACGCCCTCCCCCACCATTCCCCCCCTTAGTTTATGACCACGTGTCTCAAGTTCTTTAGATTCTATATTTCCCCTACTATTCTTACCCTCCCCTATCTATTTTCTATCTACTGTCTATGCTACTTATTTTATGTACCTTCTCCCCCCTTCTCCTTCTCCCACGCCCCTGTTGCTAACCCTCCATGTGATCTTCATTTCTGTGGTTCACTCCTGATCTAGCTGTCCTCTTAATTTGCTTTTGTTTTAGGTGTGGTTGTTAATAACTGTGAGTTTGCTGTCCTTTCTCTGTTCATCTTTTTTATCTTCTTTTTCTTAGGTAAGTCCCTTTAACATTTCATATAATAAGGGCTTGGTGATGATGAACTTCTTGAATTTGAGCTTATCTGGGAAGCACTTTATCCGTCCTTCCATTCTAAATGAAAACTTTGCTGGATAGATCAATCTTGAATGTAGGTCTTTGGTTTTCATGACTTGGAATACTTCTTTCCAGACCTTCTTGCCTGTAAGGTCTCTTTTGACAAATCAGCTGACAGTCTGATGGGAACTCCTTTGTATGTGACTGTCCCCTTATCTCTTGCTGCTTCTAGGATTCTCTCCATTTTAATCTTGGCTAATGTAGTGATGATGTGCCTTGGTGTATTCCTTCCTGGGTCCAACTTCTTTGGGACTCTCTGAGCTTCCTGGATTTCCTGGAAATCTATTTCCTTTGCCAGATTGGGGAAATTCTCCTTTATTATTTGTTTGAATAAGTTTTCCATTCGTGGCTGTTCCTCTTCCCCTTCTGGTACTCCTATAATTTGGATGTTGGAGTGTTTAAAGATGTGCTGGAGGTTTCTAAGTCTCTACTCATTTTTTTGAATTCTTGTTTCTTCATCCTTTTCTGTTTGGTCATTTTTTTCCTCCTTCTGGTCCACTCCTTTGATTTGAGTCCCGGTTTCCTTTCCATTACTATTGGTTTCCTGTGCATTTCCCTTCATTTCAATTAGTTTAGCCTTCATATGTTCCTCTAATTTGTGACTAAAATCAACCAGTTCTGTGAGCATCCTGATCACCAGTGTTTTGAACTGTGCATCTGAAAGTTTGGCTATTTCTTTGTCACTTAGATTTATTGGCTCTGGGGCTCTGAGTTGTTCCTGAGCCATGTTTTGATCTGTTTGTGCCTGTTACGTATGAGGAGCATAGTCTTAGTTGTTCACCAGGGCAGGGCCACCCAGGTTACTGGTTTGTGATGCTGTATGTGGGGGCAGGGTCAGAGAGGGACAATGGCGTTCCCCTCTGCCACTTTCTGCCGCTGGGGCTTGCAGGATCTGTCTCACCGCTCACTCCTTCACCAGTTTATCTGCGTGCTAATATGTGACCGCAATCAGCCCTCAGTGGGTCTGCCCGCTTCTCCACACCTGGGATCCGCCCATGGCTGCTGGAGTGCCCATGTTCGTCCGGTGGATCTCTCCTGTCTGACCCCACTCTGCTGCTGGCTCTGCCCCTCTTACCAGTTTGGCTGAAGGGTTTGTTGTTGTCAGACTTCCATGTAGTTCAATTTTCTGTGGTTTGGCTGCATTTTTGTTGCTAAAACTTTGTTGTTTTTAAACCTAGTTGTGCTAGAAGGTGCAGTGCTTCCACCTACGCCTCCATTTGGCAGAAGTCCTTCTGCATATTTTTGATAAACTTATATTTGCCAATTAAGATTGTGACAAAAATGAATGTATATGAATCTTTAATATGAACCATGAAATCAGCCATTAGCTTCCTGAGTAATTGGATGAGCTTATAGTAACCAGAACACTACACAAGAAAGCAAATGATTTTTAGATTATTCTTAATAAATATTTATTGATTTTACTGTAAGCCAGAACACTGGCTGTATTCAGAAGTCAGTGGTAAGCAAAAAAGAAGTCATAGTTTCTGCTTTCATGGAGCTTATAATATTTATGGAGTGCTTCTGTGTGATGTCATGTGCATTAAATATAACACTGTAAAATAACCTTGGTTCTCCTGATGCTTCATGTTGTAGAGGCTGGCTCGTGAGCCCCAGAACCTGGAACACTGGCTGGACTATGGTGCCTTCTGCCTGCTAATTGAGGACAACATCAAAGCACAGGAATGTTTTCGGAAAGCCCTTTCCCTCAACCAGAATCATATCCACAGGTATGTGTGAAGGGAGATGGGGAATGAGTGGGAGCAGATAAGCTTCTATATGAAGTGGTGTTGACTCCATGACTGTGATACTGGACCATGCTGTTGGTCATGTTGGTGTTATTTTCTCAGCTTGTTGCTGTGTGGTGTCCTGGCTGTCCTGTTGGAGAACTATGAGCAGGCAGAAATTTTCTTTGAGGATGCTACTTGCTTGGAACCAACCAGTGTTGTAGCCTGGACTTTACTTGGTATGATATTTTCCTGTGGTCTGAATGTGTTTTTATTCCATTATAAGATTCTCCTTTGTCTTTCTACCCTTTAATGGCTCTTCATGTAATTCTTAAACTTTAGTGAAAATGTAAGTGAAATATAATTCTTCAGTAGATAATGGTGGCAAATCACATTTATTTCAGCATCTTTCTTTCTTCAGGTATATACTATGAAATTCAAAACAATGGTATTCGAATGGAAATGGCATTTCATGAGGCCTTCAAACAGCAGCAGGCCCGAATAATGAAGCAGAGCACTGGTACTGCAGAGTACGTTGAAGAAGGAGGGAAAACGGAATCCAGTTTTGGCCCTTGGGGAATCACTAATGGTTCTTCTACAATAGCAATCAAAATGGAAGCCCCACCAGGTAGGACCAAGGAATGGAGATGATTAGTGGCTATTGGAAAATTACTGGCCTTATGAATAGAACTAGACACATAGTGGGTACTCAGTAAATATTTATGAAATGAACAGGTGGAGTTTTGAGTTCTTCCAGGGATACCAGGGAAGAATCCTCCAGTATATTTCCTCATGGACATGATTGAAAGTCTAAAGCTTTTAATGTTGCTATTCAGTTTTTATCTTAGAGAATTTGCTATCCCTGCACTCCTAAAGGGAGTATCATTCTAGCAGATTAAATTTCTTTTTTCCTCCTCACTCTCTTTCCCAACATGTAAGGTCCCTTTCTTGTGATTCTTAAATTTACTTATGTATTTGTACACTCCCTTTTTTCCCCCTGTTCTTCATTGCCATTCTTTTTTTCTCCACTTTAGGATCTTGGTCATTCTACTATGTGTTTTTATTTATGTGTTTCTTGCATATATTATTTTATTTATATGTTATTGCATATTGTTATTTTATATGCATATACTTTCAACAGTTTGAGGTATAATTGATATTACATAAACTGCATATATTCAAATATACAATTTGATAAGTTTTTTAAATATATTTTTTTATTTTATCAATTATGCCATTACATTTGTTCTGTTTCCCCCGTTCCCCTCCACCCTGCACACCCCCTCCCCCACCATCCCCTCCTTTAGTTTATGACCACGTGTCTCAAGTTCTTTAGATTCTATATTTCCCCTACTATTCTTGCCCTCCCCCTATCTATTTTCTATCTACTGTCTATGCTACTTATTCTCTGTACCTTCTCCCCCCTTCTCCTTCTCCCACTCCCCTGTTGCTAACCCTCCATGTGATCTTCATTTCTGTGGTTCACTCCTGATCTAGCCGTCCTCTTAGTTTGCTTTTGCTTTAGGTGCGGTTGTTAATAACTGTGAGTTTGCTGTCCTTTCACTGTTCATCTTTTTTATCTTCTTTTTCTTAGGTAAGTCCCTTTAACATTTTATATAATAAGGGCTTGGTGATGATGAACTCCTTGAATTTGATTTTATCTGGGAAGCACTTTATCTGTCCTTTCATTCTAAATAAAAACTTTGCTGGATAGAGCAATCTGGGTTGTAGGTCTTTGGTTTTCATGACTTGGAATACTTTCTTTCCAGCCCCTTCTTGCCTGTAAGGTCTCTTTTGAGAAATCCGCTGACAGTCTGATGGGAACTCCTTTGTAGGAGACTGTCCCCTTAGTTCTTGCTGCTTCTAGGATTCTCACCTTCATTTTAATCTTGGCTAATGTAATGATGATGTGCCTTGGTATGTTCCTTCTTGGGTCCAACTTCTTTGGGACTCTCTGAGCTTCCTGGATTTCCTGGAAGTCTATTTCCTTTGCCAGAATGGGGAAATTCTCTTTTATTATTTGTTCAAATAAGGTTTCCACTCATGGCTGTTCTTCTTCCCCTTCTGGTACCCCTATAATTTGGATGTTGGAACGTTTAAAGATGTCCTGGAGGTTCCTAAGCCTCTCCTCATTTTTTTTTTGAATTCTTGTTTCATCATATTTTTCTGTTTGGTCATTTTTTCCTTCCTTCTGGTCCACTCCCTTGATTTGAGTCCCAGTTTCCTTTCCATTACCATTGGTTTCCTGTGCATTTCCCTTCATTTCAATGAGTTTAGCCTTCATATGTTCCTCTAATTTGTGACTAAAATCAACCAGTTCTGTGAGCATCCTGATCACCAGTGTTTTGAACTGTGCATCTGAAAGTTTGGCTATTTCTTTGTCACTTAGATTTATTGGCTCTGGGGCTCTGAGTTGTTCCTGAGCCATGTTTTGATCTGTTTGTGCCTGTTACATATGAGGAGAGGCACCTTGGATGTTCACCAGGGTGGGGCCACCCAGTTCGCTGGTTTGTGATGTTGTATGTGGGGGCGGGGTCAGAAAGGGAGCAATGGTGGTCCTCTCCGCTCACCCAGTCCGCCTCACTGCTCTCCCCCACCTATTTATGTGAGCACAAATGTGCGAGCCCATCTCCCTGCACCTCCGGGGACTGCGTGATCTGTCTCAGTGCTTGCCTCTTCACTGGTTTATCTGCAAGCAAATGCTTGAGCAACCGCAGCCAGCCAGCCACGCCTCTTCCCTGGGTCTGCCCGTAGCTAGCCCGCACCTGGGATCCGCGTCCTGGGCTGCCTGTGCACCCCCTGGGTTGGGGGATCTTTTTTGCTCAACCTGCTCCGCTGCTGGCTTCGCCCCCTCACTGGTTTAGCTGAGCAGTTTGTTGTTTTTATTACTCTGTATTGTTTGATTTTCTGTGTGGTTTGGTTGTGTTTATTGTTGTTAAAACTATTGTTTTTAGATTTGGTTGTGCGAGGAAGCAAAGTGTTTCCACCTACCCCTCCATCTTGGCGGAAGTCTCCCAATTTGATAAGTTTTGACATATAACGCACCTATGAAAATATCACCATAATCAAGATAATGAACATATCCAAAATCCCCCAAATTTGTCTTGTGCCTATTCATGTTCTTTTTTTTCTTGCCTTCGTTGCCAGGCAACCAGTTAGTTTCTGCCACCATACATGAGTTTGTATGTTCTAGAATTTTAGAATTCCAGAAAAATTTAGAATTTTGAAGAATTTCTGGAGTTAAATAAAATTGCACAGTATGTACTCTTTCTTGTCTTACTTTTTTGCATAAGTATAATTATTTTGAGATTCAAACATGCTTTTGGGGGACTTCTGGCCAAGATGGAGGTGTATGTAGACACATTGTGCCTCCTCACACAACTAAGGACAACAAATTTAGAAACAACAAAACATCCAGAACAGACAGAAAACTGATCTGTACAGAAGTCCGACAACCATTTATCCAGACCTGTAAGAGAGGCAGAGATGGGTTACAGCAGAAAATAGCAGGGGATGGCCACCCAGGCGCACAGATGGCAGTTGGCAGACCCTGGGCCTGGGTGGCAACAAGCAGACCCAGTGAGGCATGCAAGGTGGCCAGCAAACCAGGCAGTCCCACTTTTGCATGCAGATAAATCAGTTGAAAATGAGCAGTAAGACAGACCGCACAACTCAGGGCCCCAGCATGAAGAAATAAAGCCTAAAAGCACCGATTGAAAACACTTTGTGGGAGTTGAGGTGCTGGGAGAGACTCCCAGCCTCGAAGAAGAGTTTGTTGGAGAGACCCACAGGGTCCCAGAATGTACAGAAGCCCCCCCCCCCCCAGAAACCACTACCAGAAGGACCCAATTTGCTTATGGGAAGCAGCAGAGGGGACCAAAATCTGAGAGAGAGCCCAACAAATGCCATTGCTCCCTCTCTGACCCTACGCCCAGTCACAACCCAGCCACTGGGTTGACCCCCCCTGGTGAACACCTAAGCTTTCACCCCTCATACATGAACAGAGCAAAACATTATGGCTGAAGCAGAAGAGCAGCTCAAAGCCCCAGAGCCAATACTTCTAAGCAACCAAGAGATAGCCAACCTATTAGATGCATAGTTCAAAGCACTGGTGATCAGGGTGCTCACAGAATTGGCTGATTTTGTTCGCAAATTAGATGAAAAAATGAAGACTACAATAAGTAAAATGAAGCGAAATGCACAGGGAACCAACAGTGATGGAAACAAATCTGGGACTAAAATCAATGGAGTGGACCAGGAGGAAGAAAAAAATGACCAAACAGAAAAGAATGAAGAAACAAGAATTCAAAAAAAGGAGGAGAGGCTTAGGAACCTCCAGGACATCTTTAAACATTCCAACATCCGAATTACAGGGGGGCCAGAAAGGGAAGAGGAAGAGCAACAAGTGGAAACCTATTTGAACAAATAATAAAGGAGAATTTCCCCAATCTGGCAAAGGAAAAAGACTTCCAGGAAGTCCAGGAAACTCAGAGAGTCCCAAAGAAGTTGGACCCAAGAAGGAACACACCAAGACACATCATCATTACATTATCCAAGATTAAAATGAAGGAGAGAATCCTAGAAGCAGCAAGAGATAAGGGGTCAGTCACCTACAAAGGAGTCCCCATCAGTCTGTCAGCTGATTTCTCAAAAGAGACCTTACAGGCAAGAAGGGGCTGGAAAGAAGTATTCCAAGTCATGAAAACCAAAGACCTACATCCAAGATTGCTCTATCCAGCAAAGCTTTCACGTAGAATGGAAGGGCAGATAAAGTGCTTCTCAGATAAGGTCAAGTTAAAGGAGTTCATCATCACCAAGCCCTTATTATATGAAATGTTAAAGGGACTTATCTAAGAAAAAGAAGATAAAAAATATGAACAGTAAAAAGACAGCAAACTCACAGTTATTAACAACCACACCTAAAACAAAAGCAAACTAAGCAAACAACTAGAACAGGAACAGAACCACTGAAATAAAGATCACATGGAGAGTTAGCAACAGGGGAGCGGGAGGAGGAGAGAGGGGGAAATGGTACAGAGAATAAGTAGCATAGATGGTAGGTAGAAAATAGACAAGGGGAGTGCAAAAATAGTATGGGAAATGTGGAAGCTAAAGAACTTATGACACATGGACATGAACTAAAGGGGTGGAATGTGGGTGGGAGGGGGTGTGCAGGATGGAGGGGAATGAAGGGGAAGAAATGGGACAACTGTAATAGCATAATCAATAAAATATATTTTTAAAAAACATGCTTTTGCCTATACCAGGAGTTAATCTCTTTATTTGCTAAATAGTTTTCCATTATATGAATATGCTACAATACATTTATCTATTCACCTGTTTATAGATATTTGGTTCTTTTCCAGTTTGGGGCTATTAAAATAAAGCTGTGGTGCATATTCATCTACAAGTCTTTGTACGGATATATGTTTTCATTTCTTTTGGATAAATACTTAGGATTTGAGTGGCTGGGATCATGAGTTATTTAGCAGTATGCTTTTTATTTTCTAAGTAGTTGGGATTTTTTCATATATTATTGTTTTTATTTCTAATTTAATTTCATTGTTATTAGAAAACATACTTTGCATGATTTGAATCTTTTAACGTTTATTTTGATTTGTTTTATGA